CCAGTCTATCTTTAACATTCTTCCAAATCCTGAGCTATGCTGACTATTAGTAATAGAGAATGTCACCAATCAGCTTTCTACACTAAAATGACCCCTTTATATTTTTAATAGGGAAACTTTATTATGTTGGCTTAAAGTAACGCAATCATAAAAGTGTTCTATAGGCCAGGGCCCCTATATCCATGGTGTTTAAAGGTAATAAAGAAGAAAATATACATCAAAACACTATATCCTGAGAAAAATCTTACCAGCTGTGCAGCCAAAACACTCGAGAACTCACTATTCATAGCATATGGAAGTGCAGTCTGTGCTCTGGAACCATAAGTAGTTTGGAACCTCTTCTTTACTTCATTCAGAAAACTGAAGGCTCGAGAACGCTCAAAATCCTGTAAAGTGACCCACATTGTACTCATATTTACAAAGCAAACAAAGATATGTGGCAGATTAGCAAAAACAACAATACTGTTTACTGATTCATGACTCCATTAGGAATAACTAGAAGTGACCCTGTTTCATAGATAAGGAACAAAAGCTTCCAAAAGACAACTAACTTGCCATTTGTCATACAGCAAATAAATTAAAAAGCTGAGAACAAAATCCAAACTAAAAACAATTGTATGTGGGGAAAAAAATCAACAAATTCCACAAAGAAAGCCAAGAGAAAAAACAAACAGGTGAAGGAAACAGATCAAGACTTGAAAAAACTGAAATAGAGACAATAGAAAACAGGGAATTCTGTAAATGGAAAATCTGGGTAAAAGATCAGGAATTACAGATGCAAGCATAACCAACAGAATGTAAGAGTTAGAAGAAAAAATCTTAATGTGGGATGTCCGTCTATATGTGTTGCTCTTATTGGTTAATGAATAAAGCTGCTTTGGCCTATGGCAGGGCAGAATATAACCAGGCAGAAAGAGATAGAGAGAGAGAGTAGGCAGAGTGAGGAGACACCATTTAGCTGCCAAAGGAGAAAGACACTGGAAGACTTTCACAACCTTGTGGTGATACACAGAATAATAGAAATGGGTTAATTTAAGATGTAAGCTAGAAATACACCTGAGTCATCAAACAGTGTTGTAATTAATATAGTTTCTTTGTGGTTATTTGGGTCTGGGCAGCTGGGAAATGAACAAATAGTCTCCATTTTTTTTTAAAAAGGGGGTCTTCTAGACCCACAAAAATGGGAGCCAAGTGCAGCTTCTTGGTAGCTGCATTTTTCAGATAGGCTGTTTGCTGGCAGTGAGCAGAGGCATGGTTCCTTTAAGAGAAGGCTTCCTGACGCAGCATTAGCAGCTCTTATCTATTTTAAGTATTTCACATAGTCCTTTTAGATAACAGATAGAATTTATTGTGAAACCAGAGGTAATATCATTGTGATGATCAATGTAATTTGATGTCATTCCAACTTAGCTTCAACCAAGGATTCTTTATTGTTTTATGTGCGGGGGTGTTTTTACCTACGCACCATGTGTGTGGATTGCCTCAGAGACCACAAGAGGGTGATAGATCTCCTGAGGCCACAGTTATGGAAGCTTGTGAGCTGCCATGTGGGTGTGAAGGATCAAACCTGGGTCTTCTGAAAGACTAGACAGTACTCTTAACCACTGAGTCATCACTCCAGCCCCCAAGGATTCTTGAACTGGGATCAATGGTCAGAATTCTAGAGGCACTTGTATTAGGATACATAGAAATATTACAGAGTTATTTTCATCATTCTTTAGGTTAAATTTCAATTTTGAATATGAGCTAACAAAACAAAGCTTAGTCATCTCCAGAAATTATTTATTAATATGCTATCATAGTAACAGGTATTTTGAATGGTCTATATGCATCAACATTTCAAAAGTATTATTATTAGTCTGATGGCCAGCTGTTATCAATGATGTTATAAAGAAGTATATTCATTAGTATATCCTTTAAAATATATTGAGTGTTATATTAAGTAAAATTGATTTTGTTTAGACTTCTGTGTATTCTACTTCATACATTTAACAAGAAAGTTACAAACATTGATTTATAGAAATCATGTTAATTCCATGACTGTCAGACACCTGCTTAAAAATAAGCACATGGCCAGTATGACATAAAAAGAAGTTAACATCAAAAGAAAAGAGAGGGGCATAGTTTCCTCATTCCTATGATAAGAGATCAAAGAACACAGTTTCTCTTCTTTATACATAAATAAACAGCCATGCAGCTACATGCCACCATAAAGGGAACTTGCAAGAAACTGACAATGAGTAATAAAAATGAGAGAATGTTTCTTGATGACATTAAGTTACTGAACATTCAGGACTTGTAGCATACTCAGAAAACAACCTAATTAATGGAAACTACACATTTACATAGTTGATCATAACATATGTACTATGATACTGTTTTTCTAAAGTATAAATACATAAAAACTTCATTAATATTGACTGAAGGAATTAATATTCAATTTCAACATTTTGATAAGCTTTAATAACAATAATAATCTTTAGGAAGAGAGAGGCCAAAATGGATATCTTCATTGGGTCTCTCCCCTTGGAGTTTGGGGAACCCTATGAAAAGAAGGGGGAAAGAATTATATGTAGGTGCCAGAGGGGTCAAGGATACCAGATGAACATAGCCCACAGATATTAACTAAGTTGGGCTCATTGGGGCTAATAGAGACTGGAGCAGCAATTAGAGTCTGCATGGGTTCACAATAGGTCCTCTGCATATACATTATGGTTGTTAGCTTGGTGTTTTTGTGGGACTCCTAACAGTGGGAATGGGGGTGACACTGACTCTTTTATCCTTTCTTGGGGCCTGTCTTTCTACTGGATTGCCTTTACCAGCCTTTATATGAGGGGTTGTACCTAGTCTTATTGTATCTTATTATGCCATGTTCAGTGGATAGCCCTGGCAGGCCTGCTCTTTTCTAAAGAGAAATGGAGCAAGAGTAGATCTGGAAAAGAGAGGAGATGGTGGGGGCAGGGAGGAGTTAGGGGTCTGGGAGTAGTAGACGGAGGGGAAACTACAGTCAGGGTATATTGAAAACAAAAAAATTAAAAATACAAAAAATGAGTTAAAACAAAACCAAACAACAATCATAATCACAAATACCAATTTCAACATACTGTATAGTAATAAATGTTTAGAGATATTAAGCAGAAAGTATCAAAACTGAGCTGAATAATACATATTTAAGCATCAAACTTTGTCATAAGGTGCTTTTTATAACAAATACAACATGTAGAAAACATTTCTAGGTATAAATTTTTTTTTATCACCTTAACCCATTATAGGTAAAGATAATTAATAATTGACTGTATTAGTAGACACAGTTAAATAGCAATACATCTTCAAGGTACTTACATCATCAGTGATACAAAGATACACAATCCTGTCTTGGCAGATGTAATGAAACAAGTAACTGTAGAATAAAAGATATAAAACATATTGTGGTTTTAAGCATCATCTATTTCACTTCTAAGTTCTATCTATATATAAGCCAGTTCAGTATGTCCAATTTCACTATACTGATACAAATATAACACATTCTCATCCTCCCCTTCCCAATACATTTCTATCTCTAGTTAAACTGACAAAAATGAATAAAATATGAAAATAAGTTCTCTTTCCTAAATATAGTAACATATGCATTAACCATTAAAATGTTAGCTACAAAGCATAATTGGATTTTTTTACCACATGTAGTATCTTTTATTTCTTTTCCAGAGAAATTTGAACTAGTCATTGACTACAAAAAGAACTAAAAGTGTTCTTGTCAAGAAAAAATGCTGACTTGGTGTGGGAGGCAGGGTATGGATAAAGTGAAGAGTCTTTTCTATAAATATCCTAGTAATTTAGAATTACTAAATACTGATGGGTGTGGTGGCATAAGCCTTTAATCCTAGTGCTTGAGTTCAAGGTCAGCCTGATCTATATCGCAAGTTCCAGACCAGTTAGCATACATAGTGAGATCCTGTCTCAAAAAATAAAAGAATAAAAGAATTATTAAATGCATAATTGGATTCTTAAGGCCTAAAGAAGAGATGGTATCTTAGAAGGGACACACAATTAAAATTTATCTCCAGTGAGCCACAGAATTTTTGTTTTTGTTTAGCTTTTTCCTGGTATGACAAATACAAACACCTTTGCTACCAAATTCTCAACAATAACAATTGAGGATCTATTTTAATGAAGTTAATCTGCAGGATAATAAAGATACAGAATATAAAACCATCAGTCCCTGCTTTTTTAGGGATTATAAAGACTAATAAAGCAGCATGGCAAACAAGATAATAACAAAGTTGAGGGTAGTATAGAGTAATGAGGTAATGGAGATTTACCAATGGGTAAAAGTGATATGTGATCTGAATTCTAAAGAATAAGTAATAGGAATGCAAAGAGTAAGCAAAGACTAGACAAAAGTACAGAATTAGGCAGTGTAAGGATGTGAAGATAAAAAGAGCACATGATAGATACAGATATAGGAGAGTAAGATCAGTTCACATGACAAAAGGATAGAATATGCAGGGGAAAGTGTAATTGCCTGGACAGATGACAGTACAAAAATAGGTACATAATAGATTATACAAGATTTTATAAACTGCATTGCATACTGCTTTGAGAACAATGAAAATATTCAAAACATTTTTGCCTGGGGAAGGTAGCATTATTACATTTGATGATACCAAAACTCAGTATGTAACCCACCACCTGAGCTCCAGTCCTGCATATGCTACTGTCTGTCATACTTAACCTTTTTAAACCTGCTTTTGTCTTCCTGAACAGATTTTTACAAACATAAGTATGGTGACCATACACCAATAAATAAAGAGAATTATCACAAATGTTATGAAGAAACGAAGAAATTAGCATTGAATAGTAACATGTTAAGTGTAGGTAGAAAACAAAAATGAGGACTAAAGTAGTAGAAGACAAGGTCACTGAAGAAAAATGGAAATAGAGAAGAAATGGGCTGACAAACTTGTAGAAGAAAGGTAAATATTTGGTGAAGAAGTGAAATATGATTCTGAAGTTTTAGGCTTAGCTAGCTGAAGATCTAGTGAAAGTATTCAATTTAGTAAAAGTTACCTTATTGAGATAACTAACATTATATGACTAAAACCAGGCCATAAGTTTTTTTTTAAAAAGTCAGTGATTAAACTTCATCCAACAAACATGGGAAAAGCAGTGAAGATTTGGGTAGAAATCGCAGCATGTATAAAGTATTTTCTTCTTCTAAAACTTACATTGTAGTTAAATTCTTAGGCTGCCTTATAGCTAGATGTGGGTATGTTTCTAAATTCTGGTTCTAATAATATTACTGGAAGATATAATCCTTTCCTCCAAATAAAAGAATTCCGTATTTTTTCAACAGTGATGGCTCTGAACCACTCATCTCAGGACTATTTTCATATATGTCAAATTGTATCATGGTGTCTTTTCATAGTAGCTTTAAGTAACCTGTAAAGGGGCTTAATTCTAAAAAGTAATAAGGATTTCCTGACATTAAAACCTAAGGAAAAAGAACCTAAGGAAATAAGGATTAAATAAAATATTTTACGCACCAATGAGGAAAGTTAATGCACTTTTTAACATGATTACTATGATTTCCCATCTATGTCCTCTTTAATACAACACCATAGTGATATTTCTACAGCAAAACCTGTCATACCTTAAAAACCTTCAGTACCTTTCCACTGCCTACTGGTAAGCATAAACTCTTAACATGCCCTATGAAGCCATGCATAACTTTCTCCTACCCATCACTTTAGTTTTATCATCATCATCATGCTGAGTACTAGTCACAGAGAATGACTATTTCATAAATACTCTGTATAACGCTGTTCCTTCTAACTTAAATGCCACCATTTTGCAGTCTCTACTATACTTATCTACAGATTTCATCATTAAGCTATAATCTTTATGAAGATTATAAATACTAAATTTCTTGTTATATCACTTTCAACAGGTAAAGTATCTATCAATAGTTAAGTATTGTGTTAATATTTACTAAAAGAATGAAAACAAATACTTTTTATATTATCTGTATCATTTCACATATCTTAGAACTTGATAGAAAAGCTATTTTTATATATAACATTGCCATAAATTTTTTAATATATAATTTCAATGATAAAATAAAATAACCATAAGTTAATAAATAACAAAACCAGATTTTTTTTTTACTGTTCTGAGGTAGAGTTTCATCCTGTGGTTTAGACTGGTTTGAACTCACAATGGGAGCAAGTAGTAGGATTAGAGGCATGAGTTACCACCATGCCTAGCTTAGTACCACAAATTGTCTAAGTTAGTCAAATTATTGTTTTGTCAAATAATCTACCTAAAAACTTATTTTCTACTGTTTTTACTAAAATAAAATTCCTTCCTTCCCTCTACCACATGCAGATCAGAACTCACTTGCCATGTGAGTAAGTTAGTTTATTATTTTCAGAAGGTATCTTAGCCAGAATCTGCTCTGTCACCTCCAGGAAGTTTCCTCCACACCAAGCATGTTTGGCAAGGATAGTGGTTCCCCTGGCAACAACAGCAAAAAGAATGGCCATGACTTCAATCTATTAAAAGTAAAAAAAGGACACAGATTTAGAATATTACTTAGGTGTTGGCAGAAGGTTTCTGTCCCACCCAGTCCCGCAGCCATTCAGTCCCAAAGAAATACACAGAGGTCTACATTAATTATAAACTCTTTGGCCTATTAGCTCAGGCTTTCTTATTAACTAACTCTTACATCTTACATTAACCCATAATTCTTATCTGTGTCAGCCACATGGCTTGGTACATTTATCAGTGAGACATTCTCATTTTGATTCCTTTGCGTCTCGGTGATGACTTGAGACTGAGCCTTTCTTCTTTCCAGAATTCTCCTGTTCTGATTGCCACAACTATACTGTCTACCTGGCTACTGGCCAATCAGCATTTTATTAAACCAATACAAGTAACAAATCTTTACAGGGTACAAGATCATTCTCCCACAGCACTAAGGCATAAGCTTTCAAAACTAAACTTATCATTTATCTACATCCATCTACAGATAGTATTGAACAAGCCACTATAGTATAAAAATCAATGAAAGTTAATAGGAACTGGAACACAGCTCAGTGGTATAAAATATGCTTAGTATGCCTGTAACCCTGGGCTTGATCCTCAGCAATAAGAAAAAAGAGAGAGAACAACCTTAAGGTTTTCTACAAGCTTATGATTTATACTGCTTATAGCTATGTATGGTGCATACACAGGCTGTATTTATAAATTATATAGCAGAAACTTGATACTGTTTTGAAAAGTAATGGTAATAGACAGCAAAGTGACATGATGTCCACGTCATCACAGTTTAATGAAATAATCCCATCCTTAAAATTTATCTTAGGGAAATAGTTTAGCAGAAACTAGATTCTAGATTAACAATGATAACAACAACCCATATTTATTGAGTATTCACCTTGGAACAGATATCAGCTCATTTAATTTGCATAACTCAATGGGATTATATATAGTTATGATGCTATTATAGATAAGGAAACTGAGGCATTGACACCATAACTATTTTTCTCAAGATTACAAGGCTACAGTGATAGGATGACTTAAACCCAGACACTGTGATTCTAGAACCCACATGGCTGTATATAGCCAATAATATGTACATTATAGAATTTATGACTATATGAGAATTACCTCTAGTAGAAAAGCATTATTCATAAAAGCAACCAAATGAAATTAACACAAACCTTCCACAAAAGAAGAATGATTTTATAATTTATGGTAGGACTTTCATAAACAAACTATCACCAAAACAATACGGCATGAGTTGAAAATAACTTTCCTGATATTTGGATATGAATATGCTCATTTTTCTTCCTACATTAGGCCAGATTTCTCTGATTCATGGTTTAAGCTATAAAAATTAAAATTAACCCTTCAAAGTAATATAATTTAACACGACTATTTTTACCAAGTGTATCAGTGGTTCTCAAACTATAATGAGACTATAAATCATGTTGGGTAGCAGAATGAATGACTTGACATAATCTCTTAAAATCTGATTTTTAAGTCAGAGGTTAGATTCTGAAAAATGTAGTTAAATAATCTGGCCTAGAAGAAAATATTTAACATAGCCATACTTCAGTACATAAAGAAGAAAACTATGAACTACTTAGGGTCAGGGAATCTGCTGAGCACTGATTAGAATCTCAGCACTGAAGGACAGTACACAGAGCAAAAGGTATTCATTCATCTATCTTTTAAGCTGAACTTCTAGTAGAATCTCATGTTCATTCCTAAATAAATGCCTAAATAAATTTGTTCCCTAGAGTTATGTCTTTAGCAGTCTTCTTTCCAGACTCCTCTGAACAAATATGTAGGAAGTTACACTTTCCAAACTGTCTCATACTTTTATCCCCCTTGATCTAAAAGCCTCCCTTGACCATGTATCACCACTCTGCATTTATCATTCTATTTCTCAGACTTTTGGCTATATATTCTTTGTTTCTCTACATCCTTTTAACTCAACTTACTAAACTCTGGCTTTTGCCCTTAAAAATCCAAAATATAATAATTCCTAAAATCACAAACAGCCTCCTTCTATGCTATAAAATAATAATCATTTTTCTATATTCACCTTAATTCATTTCTCAAGAACTACCAACATGCTAACTGATTGTCATTCTTGAAACTTTCCTATGTATTTGACTTCTCTGGCTTTCTTCTTGGTGACTTTTTCAACCCCTAACTCACCACTAAATGGTGAATTCTTTAAGGGGCTGATTCTATACCCTTTTATCAAAGATGAGTTCATGTGAATTTGACATTTAAAATATAATTCATAAAAGATACAAAAAATAGGGTCAATGAAAAACACAAGACATAACCAACAATTAAAGGAAATATAAGAGTAGAGACCCACAAAAAAAAAAAACTCAAGAGAACCAAGTGGGTAAATGTGTCCAAAAGGGAAAGAAAAAATGAAAAGGAACAAGTTTTAGTGGTTGGATGTATTGCCTCATACAAAGAATGAAGACTAGAAAATATTGACTTCAATTTCAAAAGGAAGGAAGCTAGGGCCAAAGAGACAAATAGTTGAACAAATGAAAGCACAGAGATATAGAGATAAGAATTCATATGGTATCCAGACAGAGAGATGAAAGTGGCAGCTTTGGTCACTCTGCAACTTCAAGAAAAAAAAAACAAGATTTGCAACAACATAAAAAAAGACTAATTATGAACCAAGGGCATGAGGTAACTGTTTAAAATGCTTAAATAATCTTACATTATATTAGGAAATGGGGTAATTGGCTCTAAGTCCTACTATTATTCCATGCTATGTTAGTTATACTTTACAGAGAACACTGAATTTCGTTCTAGGTATCTCGACTGTACAGAAGGGAGAGACTACATGTGAGAAATTTGGAAATTATGTTATAAAGGGGATGACTTAAAAAACAAAAGATAGTTTAAAAAGAAAAGGAATGTAAAACATCTTTTAGATTTATATAAAGTGTATATGTATTGGAATAAAGAGCACACTTTTGAGAGTAAAACTGGGAATAATGAATATAAGCTACAGAGAAGTAGTGCAATAAATAGTATAAAATAGAAATTTTTCCCACAATAAAAGTAGTTCCAAATTAAAATTACATTGTTAAACATTGCATATATACCAACAAAAACCTTATTTTCTTTCCAGATGTCACTAATAGAAATTTTTAAAATGATGTCATATATTACTAAAAAAAACTTCACGTACAGTCAAATCTTGCCCAACCACATTATAACTCTTTTGCAATTGAATGTGTTAACATATTGATGAGTGTTGAGATAACATAAACAACATAGCAGAAAGAACACTCACTGTATTTGAAATAAGGAAACCTAGATTGACTAATTATAAGCACTATGTGACTATTTAACAAACCAAGAAATGCTGTATAAAGTAGCATTCAGAAAGAAAAAGCATCAAATAAGCCAGATAGAGAGGCAAAATAATAGAAATACCAGATTTTCCTCAGTGCTGCTTCTCCTAATTTTCTTAGACATTTATCACTTAGGCCAATAGCCATTATCCCAATTCTACTTACATCTTGCTAAAAATTCTAAATTAGTTTTCTGTGGCAGTCATAAAAATTATCAAAAACCAGGTAGATTACCACTGACAAAAATTTTATCACCTCAAAGCTTAAAAGGCCAGAGGGTGAAAATCAAGACATTGGTAGGACCATGCTCCCTACAAAATCTGTAGGGAAGAATCTTTAGGTTCTTCTAGTTTCTAGCAATTAGCTAGCATTCTTCTTTGGCTTGCAGTTTAATCTTTGCCAATCTAGTCACATAGTGCTCTCTTGTCTTCAGATAACATTGTTTCTGTGTTCCTTCTATCCTTTGAGACCAATCATATTAGTCAAGTGTCTACTATACTCCAACATGGCATCTTTATTTACAAAATCCTATATGCAGTAAGGTACCATGCACAGGTGTCAAAAGTCAGGACTTCAACATAGCTTTATGGAAGACACAATTAACAGTATTCCGTGTTCTCAAATCAATCCTATTCTCCATTTTCCATATAATTTACATTCTTCCAAATTGCCTCTTCTACTTCTAAAACCAACTACCTCATCTTTTTCCTCAGTGATTTTAGAGACCTGTCCTTATAGCTATGAGGCAATCTACTATAGTTTGGACTTAGAAAAGCATGTTGTAGCTGGATGTGGTTGTGCATACCCCTGATCGTAGCACTTGGGAAGTAGAGGTAGGACTATCAAGAAGAGTTCAGGGTAAGTCTCAGCAATATAGTGAGTTCAAGGCCAGCCTGGATGTGACAGTCAAAGCAGTAGATAACGGAGTTATGAAACCGAGGTAAAAAGGACTCCTATACTATAAAAGGAATCATAATACAGAGCGAGACAGACATAAATAAATACAATAAGATGTAGAGAATGAATAACCTAAGAATAACCACAATTGTTTAAACTGTTCAAAACAAGATTATGTAATTATGTGATTCTAATCTGACAAAGAATGACTAGTTACAAATCTATGTATCAGCATTTTCCTCATATACTGTTAACATTTTTTTCCTTAAAAGAGAGGTCAAAGTGTTTGTTTTACCTTATCTATCCAATTCTCAGAAAATCCTTGCACAGAATATTTATTGAACAGTTAAGTCAACACTGGGTGTACTTAAATTATTCCAACTAATAGATAACTTTATATTCTATAGAAACAGGCAAGAAGAGTAATTTTTTTTACTACCAAACTCCCTCCGTAATTCAGGTAGACAGTTTGTTGATAGTAATCCAGTCACCAACTCTTCAGTATGAGACATAGCAAGAAATAAGTCAATGGCAGATAAACCACAAGTTGTTGTATATTGCAATTTGTAGGATAACCTTGCAACAGATAGCAAAGAAAGAACACTGTCAAGCTAGACAACTAAAAAGAAGGGGTGTTTACAAAAAGTCAAGTAACAGATAAAGATTACTCCTGTTGCTATCACAACTATTGTTTCTCGAAAATGATTTGAAGTCCAACTCAATCCCTATCACTTTCTCAGGATAGAATTTTATTCTGTCAAACCAACTACCTTTAAAGTTTTACATTTATCCACACACACGACCATACTGATTTACTATTCCTACTTATCCCTGTTCCCCAAACATGCAAGTTCCTATAGTAGTCACCTCCTATGTCTTGTTTACTACCATGCATCCCATGCACTTAAAGGAGTATTTAATATGTATTCACCTTTTAATAAATATATGTTAAGTACACTGCTTCAAGACATAGCTATTCAAAGGAAAAGAATTTTCAAAAGAGAATGGTGATATATGTCATAGTGTGATTAATAAAATCCCAAGAAAAAGACTTGATAATTCATTGGTTATGAGAGTCAGAGTCATAGTAACCAACGAGTCAAGTACATGATCAATTTGGTAAATATTGGTCATCAATAAAAATAACAGTAATACGCTCAAACAATAGTTTTCAGTGGGGATCTACTGCCTACTGGAAACGAGAAAGTGCAATGTCAATACCGTTACGAGTGTACGGGGGTTAGGGGGATGCTAGGAACTCACAAGGAAGCATGAATAGGAGAAAAACACGAAGCAGAAAGTGATGTCGGTGAACATGGGTGAAAGAGTTTTTATGGCTATAGAAAAGTCTGCAGAACGCGAATTGAGAGAGACTTAATATTTTCCATCCTGTAATTACAACTTAAATGGCGCGTTCTGACACTAACCTGAGACCTCTTCAGCAGTGTAAAACATACTTTGCCCAAACTGGACCTGCTCAACAATTAGAACTGAAGACAACAGAAAAATTCAAGTCACACTTGCCCTGCCTTTTGCTCCAACCTAGCACCGTCTAGTTTACACCACCCCTCCGCTCTCTCTCCGAAGTGTGCCCTCACCTCCCACAAAAATGTCCCACTCCATTTACCTGTCCGGGTACCCTCTAGCGGAAACTCGGCCTCCTGGCCAAGGGGAGCAGATCCTCCCAGTGTCGCCCACTGCTGGAAACGAAAGAAGGACAGGACCTGACGCCCCAAGCTTCCGTGTAAAGGGCCCCGCCTACGCGTGGCCTCCTGGGAACCTGATCTCTCCTCCAATGGGAGCAAGCTAGAGGGCGGGATCTGAGACGTTTCCTACCCTCCGCATTTCCCAGGACTTATACTGCACTCTGGGAGTGGTAGTTCCGACTACGATGTCGTCATGTCTGCCCTAGGTAGGCTCAACAGCTGGTAAACATCTAACGCCGTACTATATAATCCCAGAAAACGAGAGGATGCAAGACATCACAAGTAATCTGTCAGTATAATCAGCAGGATAAATGAGGAGTTGAACTTCCCCCACCATCTCCCAACTGAGTCTCAGGAGTTAAAGTCGCCAGTTATAGACAAAACAGAATTCCTCTGGCAGGCACCCCTTTTGCCTTAGCTATGAAAAAAAGATGTAGTAGGATCAAAACTGCACGTATGGGCTTTGTAGGAGCCTAGGCAGTTTGGATGCTCACCTTACTAGACCTGGAAGGAGGTGGGAGGTCCTTGTACTTCCCACAAGGCAGGGAACCCGGACTGCTCTTTGGGCTGACGAGGGAGGGGGACTTGATTGGGGGAGGGGGAGGAATATGGGAGGCGGTGGAGGGGAGGAGGCAGAAATCTTTAATAAATAAATAGATTTAAAAAAAAGAAAAAAAGATGTAGCTTCCTTGTGTTCTTCACCAATCATTTTCCCCATACTTTGGCAGCAAAAATAACAGCAGTAGCAGCAGCAGCAGCAGCAGATAGTTTCCTGTGATTTGAATATACTATGCTATATCCTTTTTCTCCTTTGATGAACTCGTCTTACTCATCACCACCACCACCTCTGCCACTGCCCCGACAAGGTCCCTGCTTCCTGACTCTTTATTACCATCATTTAGAGACCAAAAAGCACCCTTTTCAACCCCACACTTCCAACCTCCTCATCACACACAGACTTAAGTGAATGATCATTCTCCATCTCTCCATTTCATACAAAGTTCTCAACAATGTTACTAAGTACTTTTCAGCCTTTGCTAAAATTCAACTCTGCAAGACACATACTCTGAATATTCTCTCCTTTAACCCTTTTTTTTCTAAAATCTATTCTTTCAAAGATACTACATTCACCAGGTTTGCTTCCCACCTCTATGCCAGCTCATTTACTTTTGGAGTGTACACGTTGCATAGGCCTATGGTCTGCACTTTGTTTTCTTATCCTTCACACACTTCTTGGTGTTATCAGCTATCCCCATTACACTGCTGTCATTCATATCTTGATGATTCTCATGTATAATACAGTAAGCCCAGACAATACTCCTGAGTCCCGGTATCAACTGGACATCTTGGGTACGTAAAACTTAATAATAGTTCCCAATCTACCTAATAGATTTTACTTCCCCTGTTCCCTAACCTGTTTGTCTCTCTCCTCTAAATCCTATCTCAGTGAATGTCACACTCAGAAATTGGTTGTCAGTGAATGGACAACCAATCAGTTGTTCACTCCAGAATGCTAGGTGTGACTTTGAATGCATATATTTCCTCAAAACTCATAGCTAAATATCAATCCATATTCAACTACTCACTATTTCATTTCACACAACTTTGATTTTCTCATTCTTTTTCGGAGATTGCTAATGATTAGTGAATAATAATTCTAGTCAGAGGATAACATTACCTATAGTATCTCATTGGAAATACAAAGACCCTCCATTATCTAGCTTTTCTTTAGATTTCCCCTTTTATTTTCTTTATTGTACTATGGAGGTGCCCAGCATGCACAAGATCTACACAAGTTTAAATTAGACAAAAATCCCATCACTAGTAAGGGAGAGTGGATACAAAGTCCCACCTCTAATAAAAAAGCTATTTGCAATTTATACATACTTGGAAAAAATGAGTTTTCTCTAATCAAGTCTCACTGAGTATATCAACCATACTTCAGGCTAAAGGTAAAGGGTCTGGAAGCACCCCATAGAGTTACTGGTGTGCATCTACATTGAAGAGACTAAAGAAGTTGGAATCTAATTTCCACAATTACTACTTAATAAAAATGAAGCAAAATGAAACAGCATACAAGAAATATTTTTGCATTTTCTATATTAGTTTTGGAAAGGGAAGAGTGAATATAGCATGAGGAAAGAGTATTTGGATAAAAATATAGCAACAAAAATTCAACAGTTTTATTTAAAATTTTTCAAATTATATACTTTTTATATGAAAGGATGAAGCAGTGCATTTTGGATTCAGAAGAGGGAGGACTCTTTCTATCCACCATCTCTCTGTGTGTGTGTGTTAGTGTTATATTAGTTTTATATAAATTTTTGTTCTTTTTACTTCACTGAATAAATGGAATCAATTTTTTTGTAATTATGATTATAGTAGCTCTGTCTGTCTATAAGTATTAGGAATGTGAGTTCTATTAACTTAAGGATGAGTAATGGACTCGCTGTTATTTTTCTAAAAACTTGTGATGTTAATAAAATGAACATAAATAGGTAAATTGGATTTTCTGTGTACATATTGATTTTCTTGAAAGAAGACCACCAATTTTGAAGTTACAAAATAAGAAACAATTCTTCAAAAGCAATGCTTGTTTTTAAAACAATGTTTCAGTTACCAGTGACCTTGAATAAATATGTTAGCATGTACATTTGTTGAACATATGTTCTCTTCATCGCCCACGGCTTATGTAATCATTAGCAAACTATTAGATGTAAAGAATTAGGAATGCCCAGAGTAAAAATTAGATCAATAGGTCATTTGTATCATAACCAGTCACTAAATATTGATCTTGCAGACAATAGTCTTTTCTATACTACATTTTTATAGTAATCATATCTTGAAGGTTTTTTTTTTTTTTTTTTGGTTTTTCATGACAGGGTTTTTCTGTAGCTTTGGAGCCTGTTTTGAACTAACTCTTGTAGTCCAGGTTGGCCTCGAACTCACAGGGAGTTTTACATGTAACTTTTCCAGAAACATAACACATCAAAGTACTTAAAATATATACACAAATGAGGACTCACCATGACAAGCAGGGAAGCTTTATGAATTGACACAGTGAAAATTATAGGAAAGAGATTTGTGAGGAAAGACTTTAGAATCCTCAGTGAACCAACTAAACTTCAGGCCATATTCAAGAAAAAAAGATCAGAGGCACTTGGGATTAAGACAGTCTGTCCTATTTCCAATCAATGTATGTTACATGACTCACATTCCTACCATATGATATTCAGATTGTCTTGTTTTTTTTACTGTTCCATTCTAATCATTGTGTGAGATGATAAATGTAGCTAATGCCCAAGCAACGTCTATCCTATATTTTGCTTGCAAGGAATACTTGAATAAATGAGTGTGATATTGACTACTGTCATGTTCCTGACCTTTCCTGTTCTTCACTCTTATTGAATGTATTGTCTAATAGTGGAAGAGCAATGTTAAGGAAATAAGGGTATTCTTTCAAATTGGTACTTTTTTAAGTAATAGTTTCTGTCACTAATAGTCACTTACCTTCCCTGAAATTCTGTTGAAAAACAATGGTTTGACCCTTGTAGATTAAAACTAGAAAGGATGAGATGGAACAAGACATTCACTTTTTAAAATGCACATTTCTGGCACATAACCAGAACTTTTTAGGTAGGAGCAATTTTGATCTCAAGCTTTTTTGATTTAAGAAGTCTCAAGTTCAAGTTTCAGTAAAGGTACTATATAAGTTTTGTGTTTAAAAGCAGGCCAGGTGTGGTGGGAAACACCTTTGTTCACAGTACTCAGGAGGCAGAGACAAGCAGATATCTATGTCATTAGCTAAATTGATTGAGCTCCCACAATATTTCACCTTTTTTTCTAATTAAGAAGGTTCTGATCCTAACATAAAACTATATACAATAAAAACAACTATCAAGTATTTTCCAGAAGATAAAAAAGGTAATAGCACAAACAAAAATGAAACTAAAAACAACAAGAACACCATCAAGCAAGAAACACATTTTAAATGTGCAGATCATAGGAAATTGGAAAATTTCAGAGATTACTCCAATAGCTGTTCTTTTTTTTTTAAGTATGTGTGTTTGTTTTTTATTAATTAATTAATTAATTTTATACAATATTCTGTCTGTGTGTATGCCTACAGGCCAGAAGAGGGCACCAGACCCCATTACAGATGGTTGTGAGCCACCATGTGGTTGCTGGGAATTGAACTCAGGACCTTTGGAAGAGTAGGTAATGCTCTTAACCTCTGAGCCATCTCTCCAGCCTTTCCAATAGCTGTTCTATGCGGAAGAGTCTTAAGTCTTGTACCTAATATGCCCTCAGCTAAGATATGAGATGACTGTAGTTTTAACTATCCAGTCTTCAACCCCATCAAAGATCTGAGAAAGAAAATGATATTACCTGAGTAAGAAGGAAGGGCAAGCAAGTGACTTCTAAAAGACGCAAGAAATGACAGAAACCACTGGCTTTTTGGACAGTCAGCCAAAGTTTCTCTGTAACATTGGGACATCCAATTTTGACTATAGGCCTAGATTATCTGACAGATCACTTTCAGAAGCAGGAAAATTTGAAAGACTGTCCTACCCTGTCTTGGCAAGATTAAGCAGCCACTTTTCCTTGTATTCTGATTGTCCAGATTTGACAGCATGCCTACTGTCAGCAGTAGATGCAAGCACAGTTCTTTGCCTAATAGGCCAATTTCACCAGGAAGAAAACAGACTCCATATGGAGTGTCCTCAGTGTTCATCATCCTCTCAGGAGTAGATTGCTGCTTCCAGAAGCAGTTTTCTCCCATGTTAACAGAATTCTAAGTTATTAAAACATTTGAACGTCATATTCTGTAGGTCTTTGAAGTGTTTGAAAATTACCTATCTATAAGGAACATATCTTTGTGTATTTAGAAAATCTAACTAACATAAGTATGACAAATATGGGTGACTATTAACCTGTAATTATTAATAACCAATATAGCTTAAAGACTAAAGCTTCAAATTATAAAAATAAATG